ATTATACTGTGAGTGATAATTATTTTATTTCACCTATTAAAAACCAGATTGTAATCCAAAAAAACTATTTTAACAATTTGACAGAATTGGCGAAATATTGACAAATTAAAATATACGGTTCATAAATGAAATTTACTCAATTATATTAGGGTGAAGCAACAGTCATGCTTAAAGTGTTAGCTCAGTGGGTGTTGGATTACAGATTAAGCACGTGCGCTTCTACAAGTAAATAAACATAATTAATACACATTCTCTCGTTTTGCTTATCATTTTAGAATTTCATTATTTTAAAAATAACGATTAATTGAGGATTCGCCATAAACGTTGTATTAAACACATTACTATCAAATCGGCCTTTGCAAATATTCATTATTCACTGTATAGCCAAATTTATGGTAGAATTTATTTGGAACAGGAAAATTTAGAATTGATACTTTAAACATGAAATATAATGAAACGCTGTAAATACACGTCTGCGGATTTTAGCAGAACATATACGCGAACCGGCGTCCCTGAGCTATATACTGCACAAAGGAGTGTTGCGTTATAAATCTTTATACAGAATAAAGATATTCAATATATATTGTCATTTTTTTGTCTGCACATGCTACGGGCACTGTAGAGGATCTGTCGATGTTTCACTAACCATTTAATCAGTATGCAACTGACATATTAATAAAACCGAGAAATATTACATTTTACTCAAAATTTTACTATTTAATGTTATTCTGACAAATGTCAGATAAGACTATTATTTCTTTCCTCTTGTAGAAAGTGGGTAATTCTGAAGTACATCATTTTTCTCTGTTTTATATACAAAATCTGTATTTACAAGAATAACAAAAATCATATTTTGGTAATATCTGACCGTGTTATTAAAAAAATACGCATTTTAGTAAATACGGACTTCATTCAAAGTTCCCGCATATTACGAGTGTACGGATCACGGTATATTAGTTAAATACGTATTGTATGATATACAGTTCCGTACATCAAATTTCACTTATTTTTACCTGTCTATCTATAATATACGGAATTCCGTACTCTTTATTGTATCCATATATTTTCCGCAGTGGTCATAAGAGCGTAAAATGCCGTAAAAAGCTTTTTGACGGCGATCGTTTTAAGAACATCAAAAAACCAAACGCCCCGTGATAGCGTGGCTTTTATCCAAAGGGGTGGGGGAAATAAAAGCACGTGTACCGAAAAAAAAATTTTGTTAAGATATAATTTATGCTCGAAATGTGATTCAAAATTAATTTTTCTTACAAACTCATAAGTTATTTTCTTTGATTCTTTCTTTGTAGATCAAACTCATAAGTTATTTTCTTTGATTATCAGCACATAACACGAAATGTTTATCAGGCTTGTTTCAAAGTTTGTTTCTATTCACGAAATAGCATGGCAGACGTACGCAATTGATTTTTACTTGCAGGTAATTATATTTTCTGAACTGAAGCGAGTTTTTTGTTAAGATATAATTTATGCTCGAAATGTGATACAAAAGTAATTTTTCTTACAAACTCATAAGTTATTTTCTTTGATTCTTTCTTTGTAGATCCGTATATTGATTAATTGCGAGATCATTTTGTGACTAAAACTAGTTGGTATTTTTCAAGTTTTGATAATTTTAATTGTGATTATGGACAAACGATATCGTATAGATATCGTATTATAAAATCATCATAATTGAAACAAATAACGATTGGGTTTCTAATTGTGTTCAAATCAGGAAGGAAGCTCGCTAAATGTAATGGACATTTATTTGCTAAAATTGAAAGAAATCATGCAGTCATGTTACCAAGATTGTTCAGAAGTTAAGCTATTCGGCGCTTCCCTGAATTTTTTATTTCACACATTACAATATGTTACCAATGAATTTGCACCTTGTGATTTTCCAATATCTTATTGGATTAAGTCATATCTGTTGAGCATATTTTTCAAATTCATGCTGTACTCAATAAAGTCTATATATTGTAAGAGTCCTAGAAACTAACTAAGAAAATGCCGTACACATTCATTTATTAAACTTGCAAGGGGTCAGGCAGTGGTGTTGAAAGAAATCATACAGTCATGATCTAAGACTTTACTCAGAATTTTAATGATTTAGTAATATGTTACCCTCGATGCTAATGGCAATATATCTTTGTGCTCAAAGTGCATGTTCAAGATAATTATATACGATTTGACGTAGCAAACCATTGTTTGGCATGTGCCTATCAATGATTCGCTGTGAAATATTTTCATCAGAAATAGTCATAATATTAATCAATTGTTCATATCATTGGAAAACATTATTACTTACACTTGAACATACTTCAAGTTAAGAATTCGCGTAACATCCAAATAAATACAGTTTGCATAACTTCTCTATAAGATTATCACTATAACTAAAGGGAGATTACTTTTAAACATAATAAGCGACATATCATTGGAAAACATTATTACTTACACTTGAACATACTTCCAGTTAAGAATTCGCGTAACATCCAAATAAATACAGTTTGCATAACTTCTCTATAAGATTATCACAATAACTAAAGGGAGATGACTTTTAAACATAATAAGCGACATTATAAAATGCATAACTACCCTTGCGCAAAAACTAGAACATGCTATTTATAAACGTTTTCGGAGAAAGGAAGTGTAATTAATTTATGCCGAAAACTGGTAGGTCAGTTTCAAAAAGTCTTTCTTTTTCTTGATATTTGTTTCTTCGCGTTTTTTACATAAATTATCAGTGAAAAAATGAGGAAATATATCTTACCATTTTCGCTTTATTGTAGATTGTTAGCTTATATTTGTGAGACGCATTGTGAAAACTGAATTGAAAATGATTCAGAGCAAAGGATGTTTGACCGACTGTTTTGAAATACAGCATTATTGTAATGTTACTATGCAAAAATATGTAGAACTTATAAGGAAGTTTTTTTTTCTTGATAAAGGGAGTCTACCTGGTACCTGAAAGCTGTACGAATCGTGTAGAATTACGTCCCTTTACTTAAGAAAGCGTAATCTATGTTATATAATTGTTCTTGAATGAGGGGTCGGTTTCAAAATCTCCCCCTTTTTATCACTGTCGTTGACTTTAAAGTTATTTGGCTTTATAAGGGATTCACAGTCATACTGGTGTCACTAGGATCATGTTTTTTGAATGTGTTCATTTATTATTGAATTATGATCGATGTTCATTAAAGAGTTTAATTGATTAATAAATTGTTGATATTTTAATGAATACGATTAACATCGTTTAAGACAACAAATTTTGTCCAATCAAATTTTATCGATTGGTTACCATTGTAAATACATAAGAAATAAAATAATTTGTTTGCAGCGTACAGCACATAATGTTTTTCTTTTAATATCATATAAGGTCAGTAGTCAGATGAGCTATTTCTTTTAAATTGGAAAATTAAAATGCTACACAGCGATCGATTAAGCAATACACATTAACTATTTTTCATTTGTGGTTAATTAAGATGTTATTAAAATTTTGTTATGCGCCAAATTGAATAAAATATCCTTTTAGTAGAAAGGAAAATAGTGATAAAAAAATTCTTTATTTTTTTATTCCAGGAATTGCCGTCTAAGGACGTAAACAAGAAGACCTACTAGGATCAGTAGCAGCAGGATCAGCAGAAGATAGTGATTAAAAATTCTATATTCTGTATTCCAGGAATGGCCGTATCAGGACGTAAACAAAGTGATCTACAAGGATCAGTAGCGGCAGGATCAGCAGAAGATTTTGATCACTGCTGTGAGCCATGTCTTACCACAGGTCAACGTATAGAAGCTCACGGGTTTTGTGTCACTTGTCAAGAATACCTCTGTAAAACTTGCCACGATGTCCACAGAAAAACGAAAGTCTTACGAAATCATCAATTACTGCAGCGTTATGATTTTGATACGATTCAAACAACAAGGAAATCAAACAATGAATGCACTGAAATGTGCCAAGTTCACAAAAAAGAAATAATCAAATTTTATTGTCCATCACACCATGCATTCGGATGCACTGATTGCATAACTTCAGGCCATAGAACATGTAAAGTTGATTACATACCTGAAAAGTGCGTAGGTGTCGCAGATGGGAAGGAGTTCGATGACGTCAAGCAGAAACTCGGCGAAAAATTAAACGAAGCATCAGAAATTTCGAAGAAGGCTAAACGTAGTAGAGGCAACATAAATGATTACAATAAAGAAATCATCAAGGCGATCACTGAATTCCGAAAAGAAATAAACGTCCGTCTAGATCTGATGCAAAAAGATGCTTTAAAAAATGCTGATGATATAAAATCCAACAACAACAAAATTATCCAAGTTGTCCTTGATAGATGTGAAAATATGATTTCCGGTATAAAATGCTTACAATCAAGTCTACATGCAAGCAAATCAAATCATCATGACGGTCAACTCTACATTGACATAAAGCGGGCAGAATCTACTCTGAAATCAGATGAATTAAATGATGCACAAGTAACATTAATGGATACCAATATGCACTACTCTTTTCAACGAAATTCTGACCTGGAAACATTGTTGTCTAAAACAATGGTCTTTGGTGAGATTGTCAATCAGTCTCGTCATGAATCTACAAAAGTGACAAAGGCTGATCGTCTGATTGGTATACTGGATGTCAATGTTAAAACTTCTTCAAATGAGGCAAATTGTGAAATTACAGGATGTGCTGTTATCAACACAAATAAGCTGGTTCTAGCTGATAGAATAAACAAGAAGATAAAATTAATATCTATAGATAACAGACTTGTACAAGAAGAGATATCTCTAGACTCAGGGCCATGGGATATTGCTGTAATGTCTCAGGATCAGTTCGCTGTAACAATGCCGTTTATCAAAGAAATATTTGTCATGACAACACACGATAAGCTATCACATGTCCGCCGTATAAAATTGGATAGGCATTGCTATGGTATAGACTTTAATCATGATTGTCTTTATGTTGCTTGTTTGCCTCCTCCTAGTGTGATTGTACTGAATACACAAGGTGATATCCTGAATAACATCATTCTGAGCTTTCTTTCACCTCGCTATACCCCGTATATTGCCGTGAGAAAGGATTCCGAAATTCTGTATATCAGTGACAATTGTAACGACAATATAACGAGTGTATCATTACAAGGAAAAGTTACAGCTACATATAAGCATACAGATCTTAGCAGACCACGTGGAATGTTGGTGTTAGATGACGGGTCATTACTTGTCTGCTGTTATAAAAATGGAACAATTCATAAAGTCAAAGGAGACTTGAAGCATGGGAAGATAATGTATAAAGGTGAAGATGGAGACCTTCTTCAATCAATATGCCACAGTTCACGCTATGCTAAGATCTATGTTGGTTGCGTTGGAGACCAGTTGAAAGTTTTTAACACACAATGAACACTGTATTCATTTTTCATTGATTTGAAAACGGAAGAGTGCATAACATTATGTGGTAATTGTTCTTTATTATAGAAAAGGTACAATTATAAAAGAACTTACAGGACTTTAAGACATTTATTCCATTATAATTACATTTAAACTTGTAAATTATGAATCATATCTTGAACAAACTTATTTCACATTGATTTCAATGCACTGTTATATAAATGATTTTAGGTTAAACATATTTATGTAAGCATGTGCCTTAAAAAAATAATACATGTAATAATAATAATAATAATAATAATAATGATAATAATAATAAAACTAATATGATAATAATAGTTATTATTATTATTATTATTATTATTTTTATATTAAATTAAACTCAAATATCTATGGCAAACGTTGATATTTAATCAAATTGTTAGCTCTACAAAATGATAATATTTGATATTAGAAAAGGTTTATTCCCTCGCTAAATGTATTGAATATAATACGGATGAAAGCTTTTATAACCAAGACTGCTATGTGAGGTATGGTTATATTTTGAATATCTGAAACATGACCATATATCTTGTCAAATGGCATTATAAGGAATGTACTTTACAGCTACAGCACAATTCATTTATTTAAAAAAACAACAACTGAACATTGTTTACATATTAACATTAGTCATGTATATAGATAAAATAAACGTCACGATTACAAGTGCGTAGTACTATGTAAATAATATTGTATATTGCAGCAAGCATCACCGATTAGCTTTCTTTACAGACATATTTCGCAAAAGAAATAACGTTAAAAAAACAAAATCAAAGTTGTTAAGTGTAAGTATTCTATGTGCTGAACCAATTGTTATTAAAGATTTTTTTTTGTATATTGTGATACAATACAGTAGTGCTTATATTTATATAAAAGATATGTATACATGTATATATGACTGTAATAGGTATATTATTGTCTGAATGCTTTTAAAATACCACTTTATGTAGCTGTTTCCCAATATACTTATGAGCTGAAGAAAATAAAATATGTAAAAATTGTGATTTTTTTAAACGGAATTGATGTATATTATACAACATATAGCTCGATTAAATTCAAAATTGTTGACTTTCGTGGCATTTTATGCATTTAAAAATAATATACAACGAAAACTAAGAAATGTGACACTTTTAGGTAAAAGGGCAATAACTATCAATTGGTATATATACGTTATCGTTAGTTCTTAGATAATATTTTATTTAATTATATACCTATAAATTTTCTCCCTAGAATACACGCCAATATTAAAGCGCAAATACTTTTCATCGGATATAAATTTTCGTATTATGTAAGTGACAAATACGGTATCATATATGGAAGTGACGGACTATTTTTGACGTTGGTTCCGATCTTAGCTTTGTATAACGTTGCATTTGGAAACGGGAACCAAAATTATTAAAGGCGTGGCCCGTTTTCAAGAACAACGTATTCATCCGTCAGTCATGAAGTAATTTTTTGACAACTACTTTGCATTTTCTTAATAAAACGAAAAGGTATATAATAAAAGGAAAATTACGTTGTAGTAGCTTTCTGAGACTATGTATTTTTCTACTCGCAACGTTGGAAAATTGATATCTAGCTCGACCTTTGGTCTCGCGAGATATCAATTTTCCACTGCTGCTCGTAGCAAAATACAAAGCCCCAGAAAGCTACTACAAAATAATATTCCGTATGTATCATAGTTTCCTGTTACCATTGCAACGAGAGGACATCTCAAAATTGCCAAAAATTGCTATTTTGCCTTGATTTTTTCCAACAAAATTTATTTTAAAGTGCTGCAACTTGTCAAGGGATTGAGATAGAGTCAAAGGCTTTTCAGCGTTGGTTACACGTTACCTTATGATCGACCTGGAGTCATTTTTAGCCTCTCACAAGTCCAAAATTATCTTTGCGATGAGGGGGACTACCGCCATCCTTCACACCCCAAAAAGAAGGGGGCACATCTCCCTTCTGGTAACCCGCTGATGTATCTTTTAGATGGGGGGCGGCGCCGAAAAAGTACTCACTTTATTAGCAACATTTCTCATACGAAACCATGTGTTTGGGGTCCAAATAGCACATTTCTTCACTACTTTAGGCCTTAAAGAGGGAGGGGGTCGAAAGTGCGTTGTTTCGCGTATATATGGGGTAAAGGATTAACAAAAAATAATGAATAACTTTGGAATTACCCAAAATCTAGTTATTCTATGTAAAAATGTGGTCTTTCACCTAATTTTGGTGAAAACTTGTTGTTTTGGAAACATTTTTAATTTTTTAAGTTAACAAAAAATGATGAAAAACTTTGGAATTACCCATAATCTAGTTTTTCTATGTTAACATGAGGTCTTTCACCTAATTTTTGTGAAAACTTGTTGTTTCGTAACATTTTTAATTTAGTTAACCCTTTACCTCATGAGCATATTGCGAAAAATGGCCGTTTTTTTATTGAAAAGCCTCCTGTTACAAGTTCAAACAGCTATGAAACTATGAAAAATGCTTCAATACTAATCAAACTTGGCACAAATGTTGACTGGACCATTGCTTTGTACCGACATGCTCAGTCTTAAATTTCCTATTACCATGGCAACGAGAGGACATCTCAAAATTGCCAAAAATCGCTATTTTGCCATGATTTTTTCCAACAAAAGTTATTTCAAAGTGCTTCAACTTCTCAAGGGATTGAGATAGAATCAAAGGCTTTTCGCGTATATATTGGGTAAGGGGTTAAACATATTCATTTTCCTGTCGTCCAATTTATAATGATTTTACGAGTTTAAAAATGAAGGAGAAGAACAGATATATTATGCAAAATCACACCGGATCCATAAGAATAACATAAACAAAACATACTCAAATAAATCATACTTGGTAAGAGGGAAAATTGAATTTACAAATATGTTCAAATAATATGTAATATCCGGTTGCAATTACATTAAAAACCCGCTTTACGACCACCCCGTTTTCGAGACCAACCCGCTAATACGAACGATTTTATGTGCTTTGTAGTAAAATGGTGATTTAATTGAGTAAGTCATGTCATTCTTTTAACAAGAATGTAAAAATATGTTTGTGGTGAAAGACATTCATAATACATTTTGTACCTCTAAAGAAGTTTAAAAATTTTATAATGTTAAAAAGTAAAAGAAAATAAATGAAAATGAAAAAAATAATAGTGTATGCTTCATATCTTCTCATTTGAAATAGGTTAGCCCAGAAATAAACATGTGTACAGTACATGGTATCCCTTAATGTATTGCCTGGTTTTCTGTTTGACCAAACTCATTAATGAGACCAACCCGCTATTAAGACCAGATTTGTAAAGTCCCTTCATTGGTCTCATTAGCAAGTTTTTACTGTATAACAGCTGCTGGCTATTTGAAATAATCGGCTTTCCTGGATAACTTTCAAGTAATAATCAATTTTTCAGTAATTTACCGACTACCTATTTATCAAACATTATGATTTAGCTGGATGCCTAATTAATGCTCTTACAAGTATAGCAGAAATCCTACTAATAACCATCCCGGAATTAGGAGCAATCCGCTTTTAGGACCGTTACCCTGTTGAAACCAAAAGTGATCATCCTTTGCCACAAGTAAAGAGCCAGGCCAGTCTGTACATCAATACTGCTTGTAAACTAACATTATATTTTTATCATATAATTTGAAAAATTTATCACTAAATGGAAGATAAAATAGTCCAATTCAGAAACTGAAAAGTTTAAAAGTCACGTGGTGAATACAGAGTCATTCAGTGTTTTTGCAATAACATAAGATTAATCGTTATTGATTGGGTCATTAATTGATTTGACTAATTGATTGGTAAGTGTATATTCAGGCTCACAGACATGTACATAATATTCTGATCAGATATATTTGCACACAATATTTATTTTCATGTCATAAATATTATAAGTAATAAATAGGACATTTTCTAATCATGTCTAGTACAATATGTAGTTGATTTTAACAATTCCTATTGTGAATTGTTTAAGAATAAGTTTCGTTCCAAATAATACGAAAGTAAAGTTAATGATCATATTGAATTCAAAAAGTGCATCCTTGAAATATGTCATGATGTGCTACCGTCATTTAACGCATCCACTAGTTTGCTTTTGAGATTTAAATTTCCAAGTTTTAAAATGTCGTCAGGTATTTTAATTTGATATATAAAATCCTCTGTGGTATACATCAACACATCTATTTTCTAGCTCTGTCAAAGCACTGCTTTTGTTATTTCATAAATCACATTCTTTCTTTTTTTCTCTTTTTTCATCTTAATTAGTAACAGGAAAAATCAAAACCATTGGTTTCATTATCACGTGACGGGATACCGTGACGATTATTCCAGTCTTTTCCTGTAACAACAGGTTTTGGTAAACGAAAAGGTTGGACTTGGGAAGTTTCATTTAAAAATGATTGCTTTCTCCAAATCCTTTGCTGGATACTAGGGTCTTGGCTTTTGTTTCTAGTAACCCGTAAACACCACTGATTGTTGACAGATATGACACTTGTTTTTGGCTTGCTGTAAATAATAATATAACAAAAAGGTTTAGTAATTGAAATTGATATAAGAATCATGGAATAAACTCAATTTTCATATGATATTCTTGTTCTTATGCTTCCGGGGGAGCACCACTTTTACGAATTTTCGAAACATATCATAAATTTATGACAATATTGGTGCAATCACTTTAAATGAAATCTCAAAAATCAACAATACTATCGACAGAATTAACAAAGGAACAAAAAAATGTTTTTATGCTTTTGATTAATAAATGTATATTCTTTTCTAATTCTATTCCAGGCTATTGATATTGTGGAAATGACGGGATTTTGAAGGGATATAGAATACTAGCCGACCAATAAATAAAAAGTTAAATAAAATAAACATCATGTGTTAATTAAATTATTATAAATAAAAATATGTAATATAGGATCATGTATGTCACACTTACCAACAACTTAAGTACATGTATAACTCTTTCATGGTTTGTTGTTATGTCCAATACTAAACACTATCAATTTAATTATTCATTGTAGTACAGACCTCCAGTTTTACACTAATTCACTTTAATCAAATCATCAAAAGTGAAGAGAAAATTGGACATTTTACAGACATTTTACCAACTTTTTACCGAAATAAGAAATATTCGGAAATATTCAAGAAATACATACCTCTTAAACGAGAACTTTTATATTTACAAATTTGTGACATCAAAAATAGAATGGTTGCTAAGTACATTAAACTTCCAGTTGATAGAGATGATATAACAAATATCACACCTTTGTTGTATACTTATTAAGAATATGTCTTCGTAATACATATCTGTATCTATTTTACAGTTTGTTTCACATACTGTTTTGTTTGAGCATATAACCTGTTTTGTGACAGTTTACACATTGATATTATTATTTCATTGATGAAAATGTGACATGTTATTTTATGATAACGTTATTCTTATGATTACAATGTACTGTTTTAAAAAAACATTATAATACTATGTAAACTAAGATACATACTAAAGTAAAAATAAAACCCATTAATTCATTTACGTTTGTCGACAATTACTTGACAGAGTGGTGAAGCATATAAATATAATATAATATAAATATAATGGGATAAAAATATGATGTTAAGTTAACATGAATCTTATCTTAATTAGATCATATTAATTTACTTCTATATGAAAATCAAACGTCACGTGACATTTATGAAACACTTCTTTCAATAATAAATGCGATAACAGTTTTCTATAATATGTGAAAAAAAATTAATTATCATTGCCTAAAAAGTTCTATTTCAAAAGCAGCGCTTTTAATGGATTTACTGCACTCTGTTTGAAACGTACAAAATAATTACAGAATACATCGACTATTATTCAAGCCTTAAAATCTTTTTCATTAACTTTAAATTTTGATTGACTAGATGAATTGCGATTTATTTTTTATTATTTTTTCGAAGGACTTCATGATCAATCACAACGAAAGTGATCTGAACCGTCCGGACATCGAACCAGGATCGCCCGATTCACAGTCCAACGCTCTACCTTTTGAGCTAACCAGCTTGACGGTTTATAATACTTGATACTATCGATATGATTATTTATGGTATTACAGACATTTCATTATGGATCAATTCACTTGAACGGGTTTATTATTGTTCTTTGCCATATATTTGATAAAATTGTTTTAATTTAATTGCAAAATTATCATAGCTAGCACAGAAGCGGTGGGCCCATCGCAGCCACGGTGAATTGTTCGTTTCAGAATCGGTATACGAAAATTGCAGTGTGCTGTTGTCGGTAAGTTTATGACTGAATCTAACTTTTTGTTTTGATATCATAGAAAAGCAGAACCAAGAACAACAGAAAACATTTATTATATGGACATTAATTACTGAGTATAAATTATCTTTAACTTACCTTTATACTGGCCTTTTAATATAATATTTTTATTATTACCTTTCATATCTTTGTGATATATTTGATTGTTTTTGTATATCAATATAACAACTACATTCAAGGCCCTTCAGGTCAAAATGCTTTTTTAAGTTCCCAAAATATTTTTAGTTTTGTTTTCCGTGTATAATTTTCAAACAGTTGCTCATTGGTCTTTTATATGAGCCATCTTGTGCTTCTGTTGCTATTTGGCAATTAATATAGCTTTTGTGATTTAGAATTTAGGTATGGAAATCTTTATACTACTTTAATTACATTTAAGGCAAAAAAACAACAAAAAAAAAGCACATTCTTTCTGCAGATGATAAGCTTGTTACATGGTATTAGCTCTTATTTGAATATTAAATAACGCACATTTGTTTCTGAGGTATTATGTGCCTTTAGTTAATATCAATTTTATATAGCTATTGAAATGTACAAATCAGTCAATAGTTAAACTGTTATAAATCGATAAAAACATAATGTACACTTAACAGCTGCGCCGCTTTTAACTTAATTGATTTTTAAATGTTTACAAATGATCACTTACAAGGCTATACATTCAAAAGTTTTGAGATGAACGGGAGAAATATTTGAAATGATACGAGCGACAATACAAAAACCAATTTTTGGGCATACTATTTATAGACACGTTTTCAATTAAAGGAAGTCATTCTGCGGCATTAAGCTGGAAGGTCACAATGTTTCATTAGATTTTTAAGAAAGATTGATTTATAGTTACTTACGTTTAAATCTTGAAGTTTGGACTAGTTTTATTTTATAATCTGAATAGTTAGACCTGACAACAGGAAAGGTAAACAATAATTTTAACATAAACTTTATTTTGTATATGGTTAACGGGTTTAAACATGCTAAATCGATAAGCAATTGACTCTATGTATGAGTAACACATTTCATTAATCAAGTAACGTAACGTCAGGGAATGTAACTGGAGTGTTATCTGAACAGTTTGATTCTTGAAACATATTACATCCTGCAATAAAGATTTAAATATTCACAGAATCTTGAAGCGTATGAGGTATGACTGGTTAATCGGCCTTTAATTATCACAGGCGCTATCATTAAAATAGTTTGCTAAATCTTTATTTGCACTATTTTTAATACGGCAACATATTAATGAATTTACAATATACACAGTGGATAATTAACGACATGTTCTTATTCGGATGTTGCAAGCAATCACAAATGTGTAAGTGATTGATATTTGTATTTGGCATTCCCGTTATTTCATATGTCTGTTTCACACCCCATCTGGTGCAGTTTTCTGAAAATCAAGTTTTTTCATTGGCACAAAAACACGAAATATGTGTTTGACAGGTTTCAGATTTTTTTGTATTCACGAAAAGCATGTTAAATGTACGCAATTCATTTTGTAATACATAACCTAGCTATCAATTATATTTTCCGAACAGAAAATCACTTATATTCTTAAATATAGACTGGAAATGTGCCGCACGTGTAAAATCAATATTGTATATTTTCTTGCTAACTTATAAGAAATCATCTGATTTTTTTCTTGCTAGCTCTATATATGATATCTTACGAGATCACGTGGTGTCTAAAACAAGCTGTATAACTTCCGGCAAAACCATTTGGTATCATTCAGGTTTAAATTATTGACATACAGATATATCATCATAGAAATTGCAGTTAATTGAAACAAATAACGATGGGGTTTCTAAATAGTTGCTATCAAATCATCAAAGAGGCTCGCAATATGTAATACAATTTATTTGCTGAAGTTGCAAGAGATCAAATCATGTTACAAAGATTGTTCAGAAATTATATTTTCTTAACTTTCTTTGATGCACTGTCGATTTTTTTTTATTTCACACATTGAAAGATGTAATCAATGAATTTTTAGTATATGCACCATGTGGTTTTCTGATATAATTCATTATTTGATTCAATGATACAAATTGAGATTAGTTTTTTAACTCCAAACTTTCCATATCAAATTCATACTGTAATCTTTAAAGTATTATTTTTTTTCTCAGAGTCCTAGAAACTCACAAGATGTCATACACATTTATTCTTTAAGCTCGTAGGAGGTCATACAGTGTCGTTACAAGAAATCATACAGTCATAGTTTAACACTTTGCTCGGAATTACTGGCAAATATATCTTTGTTAAGAACACTAATTTGCTTTGTCTTGTGCTAAAACTCCATCAGAAATAGTACATAAATCAATTATTAATTATTTATATCATTAGGAAACATAATAACTTAGCCTACACACGGTCAGCTCGCAACATCCGGTTTATCATAAATTGATACACACCTTCTCAATTTTACATAATAATAATCATTAAAGGGAGATGACTTTGAAATATAAAGAATGACATCAAATATATAACTTCCCTTGCGAAAAACTAGGACATGTTAATAATATATGTTTTTGAGAAATGGAGGGAAGGTTATCTGGGCCGAAAACTTGTAGGTCAATTTAAAAAATATATATAAAATATACATTTTATTTGGACTTCAATGAGCTTGCTCAACCGTGTAAAGGCCGGATAATAATATAGTTACAATAAATAACTTCAAAAGGTAAAAAAAAATCTTTTTCTTAACATTTGTTTCTTCGCGTTTTTTTGACAAAAATAAGGAAGTATATCATACTATTTTCGATTTATTGTAGGTCTTTAGCCTATATTGTGAGACACAAAACTGAATTGAAAATGATTCAAAGTAAAGGATGTTTGACCCAATGTTTTGAAATATAGCATAATTGTAGTGTTACTAAGCTATAATATGTAGAACTTATAAGTTACTTTTTAACGTAGATTTTTTTATAAAGGGAGTCTACCTTGTATTGGAAAGCTGTACAAATAATGTAGAATTACTACCCTTTAATTAAGACAGTGCATGTTTTGTAATAGTTCTTGAATGAGATGTCGTTTTAAAACAACTCACCTTTATTTTCTTTATCACTTTTGTTGACTTGAAATTTATTTAGCTTTTATAAAGGATTCACAATAATAATAGTGTCTTTAGAATCATGATTCTTTAATGTGTTCATTTGTTATTGAATTATGATCTTGCCTCATTAACGAGTTAGGTTGATTGATTGATTGTTGAATGACACCCGAATGACTGGGATTTTTATCGTTTAACACAACAATTTTTGAGCAGTCAAAGTTTTATCTTTTGGTTACCATTATTAAAACATGAAATATAATAATTTGTTTGCAGCGTAAGGTAGGTAATGTTTTTATTTATATCAATATAGGTCATAAGCCAGATGAGATATTTTGTTTTGGAAAATTAAAATGCCACACAGCGATCGATTAAGCAATAAATATAAATTGTTTTTCGTTTGTGGTTAATTAATTTGTAAGTAAAATTTCGTTATGGCCAAATTGAATAATATATCCGTTTTAGTAACAAGGAAGATAGTGATAAAAACTTCTATATTCTGTATTCCAGGAATGGCTGTGTCAGGACGTAAACAAAGTGATCTACTAGGATCAGTATCAGCAGGATCAGCAAAAGACTTTGATCACTGCTGTGAGCCATGTCTTACAACGGGTCAACGTATAGAAGCTCACGGGTTTTGTGTCACTTGTCAAGAATACCTATGTAAAACTTGCCACGATGTCCACAGAAAAACAAAAGTCTCACGAAATCATCAAATTTTGCAGCGTAATGATTTTGATAAGATTCAAACTACAAGGAAATCAAACAATGAATGCACTGAAATGTGTCAAGTTCACAAAAAAGAAATAATCAAATTTTATTGTCCATCACACCATGCACTCGGATGCAATGACTGCATAACTTTAGGACATAGATCATGTAAAGTTGATTACATACCTGAAAAGTGCGTAGGTGTCGCAGATGGGAAAGAATTCGATGATGTCATGCAGAAACTGGGAGAAAAATTAAAAGAAGCATCAGAAATTTCGAAGAAGGCTAGAGGCAGTAGAATCAATATAAATGATTACAATAAAGAAATCATCAAGGCGATCATTGAATTCCGAAAAGAAATAAACGACCGCTTAGATCTGATGCAAAAAGATGCTTTAAATAATGCCGAGGAAATAAAGTCCAACACCAACAAAATTATTCAACATGTCCTTGATAAATGCGAAAATATGATTTCCGGAATAAAATGCTTGCAATCAAGTCTACATGCAAAGCAATCAACTCATCAAGACGGTCAAATCTACATTGACATGAAACGGGCAGAATCTACGCTGAAATTAGATGAATTAAATGACGCAGAACAAACATTAATGCATACCAATCTGCACTACTCATTTCAACGAAATGCTGAACTCGAAACATTGTTCTGTAAGAAAATGGTCTTCGGTGAGATTGTCGATCATTCTCGTCATGAATCTACAAAAGTGACAAAAGCTGTTGATCGTCTGATTGGGAAAGAAAATATTAATGTTAAAACTGTATCAGAAAAGCTGGATTGTAACATCACAGGATGTGCAGTTCTTAACACAAATAAACTTGTTTTAGCTGATCGTAGCAACAATAAGGTAAAATTGATATCTATAGAGAACAAAGTTGTACAAGAAGAGAAAGCTCTAGACTCAATGCCATGGGTTATTCTGTAATGTCTCAGGATCAGTTTGCAGTAACAATGCCGCATATCAAAGAAATAGTTGTCATGACAACAAACGACAAGCTATCCCGTGTCCGCAGTATTAAAGTAGGTAGGTTATGCCATGGTATAGACTTTAATCAAGATCGTCTTTATGTTGCTTGTATGCCTCCTCGTAGTGTGATTGTACTGAATACACAAGGTCATATCCTGAATAGCATCCCTCTGAAATTTCTTTCACCTGACTATATCCCGTATATCACTGTGAGAAAGGATTCCAAGCTTCTGTATGTCATTGACAATGGTAACGACAGTATAACGAGTGTATCATTACAAGGGGAAGTTATAGCTACATATAAGAATACAGATCTTAGTAGACCATGTGGAATGTTGATGTTAGATGACGGGTCATTACTTGTCTGCTGTTATAGTAATGGAACAATTCATAAAGTCAACGGAGACTTGAAGCAAGGGAAAATAATGCATAAAGATAAAACTAGTCCGCAATCAATATGCTACAGTTCACGCTATAATGAGGTTTATGTTGGTTGCTATGAGGATAACAAGTTGAAAGTATTTGACACACAATGATCAATTGATGAAATTTTCATTTGATAACCAAATTGAAGATTGCATTCCATTAATTGTTCTTTATTATAGAAAATGATAACATAAAGATGATGCATAACGATAAAAAGCTGAAATCAATATGTTTCAGTTCATTCTATAATGAGGTTTATGCTGGCAGCTATAATGATAACAAGTTGGAAGTATTTGACACACAATGATCAATTGATGAAATTTTCATTTGATAACCAAATTGCATTGCATTGCATTAATTGTTTTTAATTATAGAAAATGATAAAAGTATATTTTGTATTATTATTATTGTAATAATCGTAATAATAATAATAATAATGATAATAAAAATAATAATAAATAATAATAATAATAATAATTATTATTAATATTATTATTATTATTATTATTATTATTATCATTATTATTATTATTAATATTATTTTATTATTTTTATTATTTTCAGCAGCTCATGTGTTTAAAAAATATCTCTTTGTATCAAAAAATCCTTTTCGTCGATTTTAAACTATGCAAATTGTCGTCGATAATTTTGTTTTAATATCAAACTTTTTAAAATGTAAAATGATCATCCTTATTACAAATGAAAGCTCCTCTGAATGATTATGTTTCATTTTAGGATTGTCTAGATATTTAT